CAAACTTAAATATCCCATGGTTTCTCTCATATGAGAAACGCAATATATAAAGTACAAAATAAAAGACAGACAACAGGAAGAGAGAAAAAGTTATTGTAATACACCATGCACAACGTATCTAAAAGTATAGCTTGATTTAGTATATTGTTGATGTGTTTTACATGTTTTTTGGCCTCTTAGTCTGACTGTTAGTCTGTATGTATGATAGCTAACTTTCTAAGGACTTTAAATAAATCAATCTGATACTAGAAAAAAAGAGGTGGAGGGAAAGAGGAAAAAAAAGAATTGAGATGTGTTATGTATATGTACCAATTCCCCACAACGAACATAAGCATAACGTACTGTAAATATGTACTAATAAAAATTTAAAAATAAAGAAAACAAAAACAAAACCTTGTCAGAGAATCAGTATGCTATCTACTTGGCAACATTTCTAAGTTGCCAGGCATGGTAGCACATGCCTGTAATCTCAGCATTCAGGAGGCTGAGACACCACTTGGCCACAAGTTTGAGGTTAGCCCGGGCCACACAGTGAGTTCAAGACAGTCTGAACTACATAGTGAGACCCTCTTCCCAAAAACCAAATAAATAAATAAAGAGAAATAAATCTCAAAGACCATTAATAAATTGGCATCCTGATAAACTTATCAATCACTTGTGACTGTAATTCATGTATATGATAAATTTATCAAAAAAATATGCCTTACGCTCACAAACTCTGGTATACTAGCTGACTGTTTCTAAGCCCAGACTTAAAAGCACTGTTTTTTTAAAATAGCAAATTTATCAGTGAATTTCATAATGAATGCCACTAATGAGGTCTCTTGGAGAACAATCAGCCCGTTTTTCCCTTGACGAGACAGTATTCATTTCAAGAGGCAACACCTTTTTACTCCTTTACATTGCATAGATATAACATCCTTCTATCTTTTTTTAAAATTGTTTTCGAAATGCAGTCTCATGTTGCTCGGCTGGTTTCAAACTCCTAGGCTCAAGCTGGGACTACAGGCCTTCACCTAGGTACTCAGCTCCTAGTAGTTTTCTTTTCTTTTCTTTTTTTTTTTTCAGAGCTGGGGATGAAACCTAAGGCCCAGTACATATTAGGTAAGCTACACCTCAAACCTTATCTTTTAACTGGATGAGGTATGCAGGAACATTGAAAAACATTAGTAAATCCTATTCCATGAGGGTAAAAACTACATTTCATTAACAGAAAAGGTTTTCTTTCTTTCAAGGGCAGTGTTCTACAATGTTTGCATTACAGTGTATTTTCTCTCACCCAAGTACCTTGTTTTCGTAAACAGGGTAATTATGTAAAATCTCTGAAAATTCCTTAATATACTATTACATTTTTCTTACATTCATTCATTCTTGTATTCATTTATCAAACATTTATTGAGTTTATATTAGGTGAAGGTATTGTACTCAGGTAGAGATAGGGTGAACAAAAACAGGTAGTCTCTGCTCTTAGGTGCTTCACCGTTACTGGAACAGATAGTTAAATCAAATCTTGACCCAGATAATTTGTAAATCAGCATTTGTAACATATTAGCAAGTAAAGGTATATGTTCAGTAGGAGTGTGAGAAGCATTTATTTCTCAGATCAGGATCACTTTTAGGAGAAAGTGATATCTGAGTTAAGATCTGTGTGAAGTAGAGTAAAAAATAGGCTAGCTAGCAGTCTTCACAAAGAAAGCAGTAGCGGCGGTGCTACATCCATTCTCCAGTTCTCCCACCCTCTTTTAAATAAAATGTTCATCTGCCTTCTGGACTCTTCACTCCAAGATCTCCAATGACTTTGTCAAAGACAAAATTACAATTTAAAGATCCTACTTGGCTTCACTTTCAGTTTTAGAATCTGGCAACACTTTATTCCATAAAACAAAACAAATGTCTCTATATGCTGAGAAGTTGCTGGTTTTACTAAAGGGCTGAAGGGAGCAGAAAGGAAGAACAAATATCAGATTGGTCATTTCAAAATTACTCTCCTTGTAACAAGAGGACCAGAGACAGAATAACAGAGAAATTACTCATCAACATCAAATTATTTCAAGTTACTATTTCTAAGGGTTAAAGATGGAGAGATTTTGGCAGAGGGAAGTTCAGTGTCATGCTAATTGGCCTGTTTGCAAAACCGGGCTCTCTCCCCTCCCATTTCTCCGAAGGCCAGATAACTTAAGTTTTGGCTTGGTGATGTGAGATTTGAGCATGGGTGACTCTAGTTTGATTTTTAGTATTATCTGTTTGGGCCCAGTGCAAGAGCTTAGTCCAAAACAATGGCTTCCTATAATTTTTATTTAACAATTTCCACAATGCTAAACATTGTGGTCAACTGTTAATTCTGATCTCACTTGACCTAGAGACATTTAACGTAACTTATCACTCCTCTCTCCTTAATCTTTTTCATTAATTGGCCTTTAGCATACCACACCTAGGGGCCAGGGCTATAGCTCAGTGGCACAAGCGCCTACCGCACAAGCGCCTACCTTGCAAGCGCAAGGTCCTGAGTTTGATTCTTGGTACCAAAAAAAAAAAAAAAAAAAAATACCATAGAACACCACACTTAAACTTTTCCTCCTTTCACTGACTATTCCTTCACAGCCACTTTTCAAATACATGCAAACTCCCATGCAGTTTCCTTGGTGACATCAACTACTATCAAAACATTACTGTGCACTTTGGGAGGCCAAGGAAGGAAAATCTGAATGCCGGGTTCCTTGTCTGAACCCAAGGCCTTCAGAGCAGGAACTCTGGGCCCTGCTCTGAAGGCCCTGGGTTCAATTCTCAGTCCTGGGGGAAAATACTCCGCATCCAAAATTATATCTGTAGCTAGACCTTCTCCTCCTGCCGATTCATTTGTTGAACTCCCTCTTCCACACCTCAACAAGAATGTTTTAGAAGCATCTCAAACTTAGCATGGCCAAACTAAACCACTGACCTCTTCTTTGCCCCACATACAAATCTGCACAGTTTTCCATAACAATAGAGATCCCTCTATTTCCTCAGGTTAGCAGAAAAGTCATCCTTGACTCTTTTACTCTCACATCTAATCTTCCAGCAAAATCTTCTGACTATGGCATCAAAATATACCTAGCTTCTAGCCTCTTCTCACTGCTTGCAGTGCTACCACTGTGGTCCAAAGCACCACAGTCATCTCTCACCTGCATTATGACTCTGGCTTTGTAACCAGGCTTTCTGCTTCTACCTTTGTTTCCATGGTCTATGCTAAATACAGTTTAAGGGAAGTAATTATTTTTAAAAGTCAGATCTACCCTCAATGGCTGCAATGGCTTCCCATCTCAATTAAAGTCAAAGGCCTTTCAGTCACTTACATGACATCTGGTAGCAGAAAATGCCCCACCCCTCCCAGCCAGTATACTTCAGTTTCTTAACTGCCCAGGTAATAAACAGCTCCTGTTCTAGATCTGGTTGCTTCTGTCTCTTAGAAATGGCCGGTCACTATGATGCACGTTGTATAAACCAGTCCCCAAATGACAAGCCATTCATTTTGCCTCTGTATTTCTTGCTTGCTTATCTCATATAAGCTCTAGACCACCAGAGATCAGGGCCGGATATTCTGGGAATGATCCCCTGGACATAAGTAAATCTGCCTCCAAACCCTGGATGTCGTTTCGGTGTTTCTGCTTGCTGTTGCACTTCTACCACTACCTCTTTGGGATTTCATCTTAGTATTTTCTCCAGCACTCATTGAACTTTAGCCTCATGAGTCTCTTTGCTATTTCCCATATGTGCAGGAATGCTCCTACTCACAAGCCTTTGTGATAGCTGTTCTCTTCACCTGAATAACCTTCCCCCAGGAATCTACCTAGTTACTTTCCCTCCTACCTCATATTTCCAACCACCTTATTTAAAAGTGAACTTTACTCCCCACAACCTCGCCCTTCTTAGTCCAGCTTCCAGTTGGTTTTTATTTTTCTCTACTGCATCTGCCTTCATCCCACTTACTACAGTATATATTTTATACACTTTTTACTCCCTTTGCTTAGTTGAACGTAAGCTCTATGACAATACGGATATACGGTACTTAAAGCCACATTTCAATATACTGCTACAGCAACCACTCAACATTTTCGTCGACTGAATACAGGGGTGCTGTTGTTTTGGTCCTCGCCTCCCTGGGGCTGAAGATTTCCCTGACTTTCTAAGACTGGGCTAAGAGACATCCTTATGGCAATGCCAGTAATACTAAGTGGTACTGTAATTCTATGTTTAAGCGCTGGTTTCTCTACTGCGGCAGGTCTGTCTGTTTCACTGTTGTACATACCCAGTGCTAAGAAGTTTAAAAATACATCAATCCTACAGTGTAAAGGATTAAAACCTAATCTGATTATCAATCCATTCATGGCCTTTCAAACTTGAATCTTTTCAAGAATAATGACTTTCAAAAGCAGAGTAATTTTAACTAAACGACTACATCGTTTAAATATAATAAATCCGGGGGGATTTTTATAGGGCACTTTTAAAATTATTATACATACGTTGCCCTTAAAGCCTGCAAGGATTCGTATCAAGGAATACTGGGAGTTCTTTTCCCTTTATTTTCATACAAAACGGACTTGACCACTTGCTTTCAAAATCCTGTTTAGGATTTCACTTGCCTGAGAATAGAACAAGCCTATGCAAAGGCAAGCAAAGCTGCAGTTGTACAAGGACCCCTACTCCATCCCGCGCGTGTCCACACGCAAGTGCACAAGCAGAGCAGCAGCGCGCAGCCCCCGTTCCCACAGTGCCTTCTTGCCGAGCTCCACTCGGGCCGCTCCCTCGGACCTGCGGGATCGCAACCCCGAAGTCCTCGGTTCAGCACAACCGCCGGCGTGGGCACCTATGCTAGTCTCTCTCATAAAATACGTTTGAAAAAAGTTCCAAACAGAACTACGTAACGGAAGCGACCCTAGATGGCGTTGTCTCCAAAATCTCAGAGGAAACGCAGGAAAGAAAACTCTCAAAGGAAAGGAGACAACGAAGGTTACAATACTCACCAGACCGACCACCCAACTCACTCAGCTCCTGCCTCCAGAACCGTTGATTTGCAGGCTGCGACAGGCAACGTCGCGGTGGCTCCTGGGGGTTGTAGTTTCTGTCGCAAACAGCTGCGCACGCAGCAGCAAAACTACATTTCCCAGAAGTCAACGGCGCCGCCTTAACTCTGCCTAGACTACCTAAACCTGGTTTTGGCATAATAAAGAAGCTGCCACATTTTTTTAGGGTAATCTTAAATTTCGATTCAGCTTTTTTAAGGCGTATCGTTGTGGTCTTTATGTGCTGTTCTTGTGTGTGTGATAAAAGTCTCAGGGTACTTGTCTTTCTACTGCTTGCTTTTCTTATCCATTCTCCAGGCCAACGACTCCAAAACGTCCGAGAATGGAAAACACCTCCCGCGCCAGACGGCGTACCTCGAAGGCGCATGCGCTCTGCCCGCAGTCACGCATGCGTAGCAGCTGGCAGCGACCGGCGGCCGCGCGCGGCGGATTTAGGGTCTGGAGGTAGCTGGCCGGAGGGCGGGGCTTTTTCCAATGGCTTTGCCTCTGCGGGTCGCGTCCTTCTGGGCGGGGAAGAAGGCGCTAGGGCAGAGGCTGCTCCGGCTTTGCGCCGGGCAGAGAAAGGGGAGGGGCTGGGGGCAAGGACCCCATCTCCCCTCCCTGCGCCCGCCCTCTGGGCCGATCCCACCGACGGGGCTGGGCGAGGGGGCGGGCTCTGCGCCTCAGGCCCTGCCGAGCCTCCTCCTCCGGGACCCAGGGTTGTCCGGGCTCCTCCGTGCCCTCTGGCTTAGCAGCGCTGGGCGAGGGCACAGGGACAGAAGCGGCTGGGCCCAGGACGCCGCCCTTCTCTGCCGCCCACCGAGACGGCGACGCGGGGCGGACTGTCGCTTTCCCCAGCTCCCGCTCAGGAGCGTCGAGGCTCGGCCGTCGCAGCCGGGGCCAGGGTTCGGCGAGACTCTGCTGCCCCGGCCCGCTGCTGAGGTTCGGGGAGGAGCGGAGGAGGGCGGGGACTGGTGCCGGAGGAGGGGCGGGGTCGGACCGCTAGGCAGAACCGGCGGCTGCACGGACAAAAAAAAAAAAAAAAAAAAGACCGAATGGCTGGAGGGCGTTCAACTCTTACCAGCCTTTTTGGGCAGAGCACGGATTTGACAGCTCCACATCGTGAGGATATCCGTTGACTCTGCGAGACAGAAAGCACTTCCCGAGACTCCCTGTCCAGCAAAGCCAGCGCTGTAAGATTGCAACTTTCCAACTTAAGTTTTTTTCAGTCTGCCCAGAAGACCGCCTCTTCGTGCAGGAGAGTAAGAGGATGATTAATGTTGTAGATCAGCTCAAAACATCAATTTAAAAGACACTTCTGCTTCCTAAATGAAACTCAGACGTGTGCTTTCCTGACGTCTCGATTTCTCTGAATTCATTGGCAATTTTATTTTAAAAATACAAAGTGTTCTGGGGGCATGCTGAAAAGGGAAGGCTGGAAAGGAAAAGCTCTGCTTGTCATGGCTGAAGGAGAGAGCGAAGTGCGATGGGATGGATTGTGCAGTAGAGATTCAACTACTAGAGACACAGCTCTGGAGACCATTAGGCAGATCATTCTGCGAAAGTCCGAGTGTCTTCGTTCAGTGAAAGAGACCCCTTACCGTCCTCCAGACGAGTTTTCAAATGCGGTTTCTTTGGATGAATTGAATAAACTTCTCGCTCATCTGCTTATGCTGTCTAAGAGGTGTCCCTTTAAAGATGTGAGAGAGAAAAGTGAGTTTATTCTGAAGAGCGTCCAGGTAAGTAAGAGTATTAAGTACAACTATACAGCAGCAGTTTTATTGTGCTCATTCGCATTGATTTTGTTTGTAATAAGTTACTGTGTATACCCTTCCTGTGAGTTCTCTACGTTAGAGCGTTCCATAGAACATTGAATTTGGGGCCAACGTTAGACAATGTAAGTAAACAAGTACAGTATTGTTTTTCTAGAGTTGGGCAGAAACCGCATTGCTCCTTAAAGAGTATGTACCTGAGAGTTGCAATTAATTGCCAAGTAAAGATTTTTCTTTATGTTTCTTTTAACATGTAAAAGTAGCCAAGGTGCTTTTTATATTGTTACAAACTTATTTTCTGTGTGGAAAATTTCTACCATGATAGAGATTGTTAAATATTTTCTAGTCAGCTTATTGAAGATGACTGTAGAACAGTTCTTAAAAAACAAAACAAAAATCAAACAGGATTTGTTCTTTAAATGCAACCTTTTGTTTGTTTTTAAAGGGAACTATATAAACTAATTAAAGCTTAAATTATAAAGAAGCTAACATCCTCAGGTTGAAAAAGTCAGACCTACTTAAAATACATTGACGGTAAATTACTCAACCAGTTTTGTCTGTGTTTGTCTGAATTGTTTCCTTTTTCACATGCATACCTATTTAAACTGAGTGCAGCAGATTAAAAATATTAGCGTTCCCCCTCACCTGTTTTGTATATAGTCAATTTATCTTGTTTTATTAGGTTTTTTTAGAAAATGTTGAAGACGGTTGGTGACACTTTTATATGTTTGCTAATCTATGTGTTGTTCAGAGTCATGTATGAGCTTGCTTGCTTTTCTTTCTTTTTGTTCTTTCTTTTTTTCCTTTCTTTTTTCTTTCTTTCTCTTTGTTCCTTCTTTCCCTTTCTCTCTTTCTTTTTCTTTTTCTTTCTGTTTTATTAGACAGGGTCTCACTATGTAGTTCAGACTGGCCTTGAACTCACAGTGGTCCTCCTGCTTCAGCCTCCCAAGTGCTATTACAGGCATGTGCCACCACACCCAGCTCAAGAAATTTTTAAAATGTATAATTTACTTGGATGTATATTTAAGGTAGGATTGGCAGTTTTTCTGTACTGGCTTGAATTTAATTTAAAGCAACAAAAAAATCATATCCTTAAAATGAAAACTCTAAGTAAGATATTTTTTCTCACAAATACTTTGGAAACAATTATTACTATTTATTTTATCAGAGGAATTAATTTTCTAGATACCTGGTTTATTGTTTTAAGTATAAAAAGTTATTTTTCTGTCTCTTTGACTGTAGTCACCATAACAACCCTTTTTGCCATAATGCACATCAACTACTCTTCCAGAACGTATAGGACATTATGATCCATGTGTTTTGAAATTTGTGTGCAATTTTTTAATAGATTTTCTTTCCTTTCCCTTGCTGTTAGTATGCTTTACTTGGGTCTCTTCCTGGCCTTTCATTTTGTTGCTTATTTATATTAGAGTAGGAAACTAGGTAACCAATTTTGTTAAGAGCTGTATTGAGAATAAAAGTAAACAGGCTGTGGAAAGTACTGTATCAAAGAATTGCAATATAAATGGTGAGTAAGTGGGCACTGGAGTCAGACTTGGGCTCACATTCTACTCCTTCATTAATGTATTGCTATAACCTTGGACAGGTTACTTGACCTTTGTTAGCTTGGACTTTCTCATCTATAACGTGGGAATAAGAACAGAACTGTTGTGAGAATTAAAAGTGTCTGGGTGTGTAATGGATGCTGCTTCTCCCCTTTCACAAATAAAATACATGGACTGTTGTGAAATATATTTCAAGACTCATTCATCTTGTAAAAGTTTCAACAATTTCTTCTACTGTGAAGATTTCCCATAGATTTATTCTTTTTTCATTTTTCCATATCCTGTACTGTAGTTCTCCCACGATTATGTATATTGTGCTATAATTGCATTTTTATGTGTCTGTCTCCCCCAGGAGGGCTGTAAATTCTCAAGAATATTGGCTGGGACCTGAAAGCTATGAAATAAATATCCAATGGATGACCAAATTTATTTTTGCCTTCTTTCTGTTTCTCCTCAGTCTAGATAAATGAAATTTCCGTTTTAGGGAGTTTTTACCCCCACATCATGTATGCATTCTTGCAACAAATGTTAAGTGAACCCCTGGTGAATTCATACTAAGAACTGAGGACAGTGGTAACAATTTTGATATTCTACTGGTGGGAGACAGACCATAAAGTAGTAAATGAATAAAAACTTTAATTTTGTAAAAGTAAAGAGAGACTTCCCCAGGCACTGATTTAAGCAGAGACTTAATGAATAAATATTATCTAGACATAGAGGAGAGGATATGTGAAGGCTTCATTGCAAGAAAGAGCACATGAGTTCTAGGGACTGAAAGTGGCTGAAGGAGACAGTGACAGGAGTGTGAATATTTAAGAGCATATGCTGTGGAGTCAGACAAGCGTGCTATTAGTGCTACAGCTGTGGATAACTTACATAATCTCTGCTTGCCTCAGTTTCCAAATCTGCAACAGGGTGATGTTAATAGTTCCTGCCTCACAACGTTGCTGTGAGAATAACATGAAATACTGCTTGCAACACATAGCACAAATGAATCGCTCAGTAATGTAAGGTATTCTTAAAAGTTACTAGGCAGGATCCAGATTTCAGAGAGCCTGTAGTCCCTATTAAAGATCGTAGACTTTATCCTAGGAACAATGGGAAGCCACTGAGGACTTCTGAAAGAGACAGTGACATGCTTGATAGTGAGTTTTGTAGAAGGATCATTTTGGAAGCAAGGTGGAGAAGGAAGTTCCAAGGTCACCTGTGTGCATACCACGTTAATTAGGATATTGTTCCATAGGTTTGTGGCAAAAATGATGGTGGATTCCAGGTGTGGCACCTACCTATAACCCCAGCTTTCAGATGCTGAAGCAGGAGGATCACCAAGAGTTTGAGGCAAGCCTGGGCTGCATAGGCAGTTCAGTGTCCTGAACTACATAGTGAGACTGTGTCTCAAAAACAAAACAAAGCACCGAGAATGATAGTGAAGTAGGATGTAGTGGAGGAAGGTAAAAAAAGCAAATGGATTTGAGAGATACCAAGGAATTAGAAACCACAGGATAATAGTATTTAATTAGATTTATAAAATAAAAATACAAGTAGGATTGGCCCTGAAGTTTTCGGTTTGAACTAGTTGGCAAATAGTGCAGTCATTTCCCAAGACACTGAGTGATGGAGGAGTTTAGGAGACACTGAGTATAGGAGAAAAATGAATTCTGTTTTATACATGTTGAGATAAAGTTGCCAATGAGACATCCACGTAGAAGTAGCTCAGTAGATTTCTGTTCCTGCTACCACTATTGTAGTTCTGTTATCTCTCACTTGTCCAGATTTAACCCATCCTCCACCTTTTCCTCCGTCCTCTACATCACCACAAAGCTATTTATCTAAGATGACAATCTGTCCATGTTACTTTCCTGCCTGAAACCTCTTTTTAAGAGAATAGAATCTAAACTTTAGAATGTCACATGATGTCTAGCATCATCTAGCTTCAATTTACCTTTCCACCTTTACTTCCTAGCCCTCCTGCTCACTGCTCCCACCCTAGCATCAACCTCACGTGGAAAATTAAATACAAATTCAAATATGGTGCTCCCTAATGCTTTCTGTTAAACATTAGTAAAGCAGCAAA